GTAGGTAGCAAATAGGTTTAGTTCCTTTACAAGGAAAAGCTGAAGGAATAGTTGTCCTTTAGGGAACAATAAGTGAAACCAAACTTTCTCTTTCCAGGTTATTGTCTCAGCTTAGAAGCTGGAACTCATCAGGAATGTTAAGCTTTGCCTTCCTTGATTTGGATAGAGGGATGCTTGAGAAGTAGAGTGAGATTAATTATTTTCTGTTATTGCATTAAAGTTGCACTGTACATTTACAAGCACATATACATTTTAATTTAATTTTTATTTTGTAGGTTCACAAAACAGCTTATTCACAGTAATTCAACTTTTCTGTACATTCACTGATAACTATTTATATGAATCCTTTGTTTCAGCTTTCTTCTTCAGTTTTCCAGATCCACTGTATTCTTCATAGTAACATGCAATGATTACGGCAGCAGTTAAATTAGAAGCATTGCCTGACTCCACCTCCTTTTCTGTTTATACAAAACAACAGACCTTCTATAGTTCTTTATCCAATTTCTTATCCACTTAAGCAACCATTTTCAGAAGAAATACATTTGGCATGAAACATAAATTCAATATCTCTCTTCCTGCATGAGTCATTATTGATCTGCTGGCCTGATGACCAACTTCAACTTTTAAGAACAGTTATTGATGTGCCATGTTTTTTAATATTTGTGTAACAATGTAATAGATAAAAATAAGTGTGTATAATACATCATTAAAAAATAACTAGTTAAGAAGAATACTGCAATCTGCAAGGGTTGAGGAGCATGCTGTGACTAACTGCAAATCAGTTTGGGCCAAAAATAAAAGACAATTTGGGTTTCCCAAAGTGCAATTTTGGTAGAATTTAGGCACTGAAAGTCATGCCTGCACTACTTCACAGCACTCTTGTGCTCCTGAAAACTAAGCCCTGCCTACCTGACCTGCTCTGCATTCTCCAAACCCAGAACTGAGCAGCTCTGGGAAGGTCCTCGCTGTCATTCCCCAAATGCTCTATCTCTAGCATGTGAGGGAAGTCCCTGGAGTGACCTCACCATCTCAGCTCCGAGTTCAGAGTGTAAAAAGCAAGAGCAAGTAGATGGATTCCAGTTTTTCTCACCACTTTAAAGAAATTGATTCCATTCATAAAACACAGATGGAGGAGGAGGTATTACTAGTACCCACTTTTTTATGGTGGCAGAGATCATTCACCCAGAAAGTAGACGACTTGAGTTGCAGAATCCTTTTGGGCTGTCTTCCACCTCCTAAAAAAACCTACCTAAAAGAAGTGAGGTTGGGGGCACACTCTATCCTTCAGTTGAAACTAAGCCTCTGTATAGAAAGAAACACAAGATTCATGGGGTCAAAGAACAAACAAGCCGGAGCTGACTCTAGGTGGGAGTCCTCGGTTGTGTTTCCAGCCCCCAGTGTTTTATCTATTTTATTCATTGGCTCTTTAATGCAAAAGGAAGGAGGGCACTCTCCTGGGAATTGTGAGATGTATGTTTGAACCAGCTCAGGCTAAGAAAGTCCTACAAAACAAACTTCCCCCTTCCTGGAGGAGTACTTTGTCCACTAGGCTCTTCTAGGAAAAGTGCACACCTTTATCTCCTCCTCCAGTCATATCTTAAAGTAAAAAAGTGAGCTAGCTCCCATGTATCTTCAGTGTCTAAGTGAAGAAAGCAGTTTCCGGACATGTATCCAGTTTCACATAGGTCCTTGCCTCTAACTGGCACCTAGGCACCCAAGACTGGAAGGGATGCAAACAACCTCTCCTTAGCATTTCCTATTGGCTAGCGTAGCACACCTTTGCTCAGTATGCCGATTTCTAAAAGTCTCATTCCAATGCACCTAACTTTCCCCACATAATTTATGGCAGGGATCAGCAATCTATGGCCCACAGGCCAGATTCAGTCTACCAAGTAACTGTATCCAGTCATGCTGCAGTGCAGCTCAGTCTGGTGATTTATTTTTTTTGCCACCCTGCTCTCTGAATTCCTCTGGCCCCAAAATATTTTTTTGTAGTGCTGTCTGCTGCCTCCCCAGCCCTCATCTCTAGCTGTGAAATTAGTCACTAGTGGCAAATGGTGGTGACAAAAATTAGTGGTAATGGGTAAAGGAAGAAGCAGCTGTAGTAGGGGGACGTGAGAGTAAGGCAGCAGCCCTTGGCATGGAGTAGGAAGGACTGGGGTGAGAGCAGGTAGCTTGGAGTGGTGTCTGGGGAAGCAGTAAGTGGCCTACCTTTGGACCTAGACGCCTTATTTTGGTCTACTGCTCCTTAAAGGTTGAAGAAAGCAGTCTCAAGCTGTGTATCCAGTTTCATATAGGCCCTTACCTCTAACTGGCACCTAAGCATCCAAGACTAGGAGGGATGCAATAACCCTCCTGGAGTGCTTGATGGCTTGAAATGGTGCTTGGGGAAGCAGTAAGTGGCCTACCTTTGGACACAGCTGCCTTATTTTGGTCCACTGATCCTTAAAGATTGCTGACTCTGGCTCTATAAGGAATGTAGGTGCTCAGCTTAGGTGTGCATATTCCATTTTGAGCACCAGCATCCTATAATTTTAGGCATGCCAATATTGAGTGTCACTGGGTGCATCTACACATGCATTAAGGTGGTTTTCCTAATGCACATTACATTTAGTACGTCCAGTGTGAAATACTAAACAAATGCGCATCAGGTTATCTTAATGCGCAGTAACAAAAGCGCACATTTTTTCAGTGTCATTTAATGCACAGCAGCCTATTTTATTGAACATTAGAGTAAGAGCATAGTTTTTTAAGTGACACTTTAATGTGCATTAGGCTAGCGGGCATTATAGCACACCTGTAGATGTAGCCACAATGTACAAGCCTTTTGTTGGATCTGAGACTTACTAATACTTAGGAATATTAATACATATGGTAGGTCAGTAAACAGTGGTTTTCCTTTAGTAAGTGGGTAACTGTTTGCTCTTAGGAAAAGAAACAAAGTAAGCTCAAAAACAAGATGCAAAAGGCAAGCAGGACTTTAAATAACATGCAATTATCCTGACACTTGGGTCTTGTCTTAAGATATTGATCCACACAATCAGCAAATGTGAATTTCTTTGGGTAGTAACCTAGCTGACTACGTGCCTTGTCTATTCGAAAAGTGTGAGTGACAGCAATATTCCACACCTAAAAAAGAAAAGAACAACAAATTAAGTTGATGATGATTTATAATTTGAACAAAACATGATGGAGAAAAAACCAAGAATCAAGAGCAGAATCTCAACAGAAGAAAACATTATTTAGGAACAGATTGTACCATGCAGCAGATGTGAGAACTACCTCTTGGCCAGCACCACAGCTGTCCACAGTTTAAGGTATGAGTTGTTACAGCTTAAGCTAAACAGCCAAGATTCTGTAAACTTGGGGCTATAACAGCTCATATCCTTTATGGACTGCTCACAAACTGGGCTTGTAACCAACTGAGTACACAGAAGAACCCTGTGGAAGCTAGACAAAGGAGCAAGAAATAACCAATAACTGTTATAATGTGGTATAAATAATAATAAACTTTAAAATAGAAATGAGATCAAAGGACCTTTTGCAGGATACGTTGACTTTTCATTTTAATTTGGAATAAAAACAAAGTGAAATACAGGACTTTCTGAGCTTTGACCAGCACTCTCATGGTCTCTGCTGACGATCCTGGTTTTGAGACTGTTTTTGTTCCTTTCCCATTGCTATGCACAGGTGGATCCATGAGGAGTGCTGTGGCACAGATGTACTCCCCCTTTCAGTCAATCATACCATGGGAACAACAGCCGGGGACTTTTTTTCAGTTCCTGAAGCCTCTGTGCTCAACAGTGCCTTCCCTCCATTCTCTCCCCCTTTCTCTTGCCCATGGCTGTTGCTGTCTCTGGCTGCCTTAGGGGCAGGGGTAGGGGTGGAGGTGGGAGCTCCACAGCTGCTGTTGCCCACTCCAGCTGGGCTCTGTGTAGAGCTGGGCTCAGCCAGAGACAGCAGCAGCAGTGGGTGCGTCCCTCCTCCCTGCCCGGTTCCCCTGCTAACCCAGGAGCAGGCTGGAGGGAAGAGAACTTACCTACTGCCACTGCTGCTACTGTTGCTGTTTCTAACCAAACCTAGCTCCACAGGCAGCCTAGATGAAGTAAGTCATGAGTGGCTCTGGAGCTGAGCACTGACCTTGCTGGTCATCTGGGGACAGCAACAGAAGCAGGTAGGGGAGCAGGGCAAGATGTGCTGCTGAGCAGGAAGGGAAGAGAAGGGGGAAGGAAGACACCTACCTAGCTTGAGGGACTTAAAAATAATTCCCTGCTGTTGTTCCTATGGCACAATCTGCTCACCCTGATGTAAGGGGGAGGCTGGGAGCTGGGGTGCAGCCACCACAGCAGCACAGGTCAGTATTCCTGCACCCCCCTTTCCGAAATCCTGGATCTACCCATGGACACCTGCACTTAAGCTGTTTTAAGAACCTCCATTTCATAAGCAGTTCCACAGTACAGGATTGTTTACTGAAAAAAATAATCAGATGACTGTTAGATTTTCTGTCTGGTTTCACTTCTAGTCTCTGGTTACTGCCTCTGGGTATCTGCCCTCTTGCTCTCCAAAGGGGGCTGAATTTATCAATTTATTACAGTTCTATGCTGCCCTTCCAGAGAACAGACTTAGTAGGGTAGTGTTGCAGAGCATTTAGGTGCCCTGCGCCTGAGAACAGGGATGGCTCCAGAGAGCCCCCTAGCGGTGAGAAGGGGGAGGCGCAGCTGCCAGTCACCAGGGCAACACAGGTGCTGGTTGCTGGGGCAACCGGTGAAACCCCCTGACAGGAAGGGGCCAGGCTTAGCCCTTCTTAAACCCAGGCAGGAGGCTAGGGTGGCAGTTTCTCCTCCGACAGCCAAGGAGTGAGGAGCTCAGCCAGTGTGGAGAGAAGGCCAAGGTTTGGTTGCACGAGTATCCGTGGGTTGCTGCCATGAGCTGGAGTATTTTTGCCTGGTAGGGATTAACTGTTGTCTGATAGGCCTAGCCCTGAGAGGGCAGAGGGGCGGCAAGGAGCCCCAAGAGTGCAGAGGGGCGGTGAGGAGCCCCAAGAGAGAGAGAGAGGGGGCAGCGATGAGCCCTGAGAGGGGGCAGTGAGGAGCCCTGAGAGAGAGAGAGAGAGAGAGAGAGAGAGAGAGTGTGAGAGACGGCAGTGATGAGCCCTGAGAGGGAGAGAGAGAGAGGGCAGCGAGGAGCCCTGAGAGGGGGCAGCGAGGAGCCCTGAAAGTGTAGAGGGGCAGTGGGGAGCCCCGGGGGGGGAGGGCAGCGAGAAGCCCCGAGGGCAAAAGGAGGGGCGAGACATAACAGGGCCAAAGTCAGATCACACCAGCACCATCTGCGAGGCTTGGGCTGCAATGTAGGGGAGGAAAAGGAGCCGCAAATAGCGCCCCCTGTCATCGGGGCGCATAGAAATGGGCAGCCTCCCGCTAATTACAACAATCTATTAATTAAATAAGATCAAGGCATGGCAGGAGAGTAAGCAGGCGGTTGGCCCATTACAGGAGGGCGGAGCCATACCCGGAGAGGCTCCAATAGTGGCACTCCTGTGACAGGTAGCTTATAACAAAAGACAAAAACTTACAAAAACAGAGTAAAATACGAAAATAAGAAAATATAATGTAACAAATTTTCCTTGCAATCCCTATATTCAAAAGTGAATCTTCACCCCCACAACCCTGTCTAATTTCCAAGCCCCATGCATTAGTTTTGTAAAGAATGGGGTAGAAAACTGATGTCACAGAGGGGGTTGGTTTTGCAGAGAAAAGTGGAACTCTTCTCTATCTACTTTATATGTTTCCACCCTCTGGCCTCTACCCAGAGAAGGTGTCCTACTGATATCATATGTTTCCTGGAAAATTTGGTCAGAAAGTTAAAAAAAAACTGTATATGTATACACTTAGACATTTACCTCATTTCTGGTCAAGACAGGTGTAAAACAAAATATGGGTTTCAGTGCCACGTGCAGATACTCCATCACTACAGCTATGCAACAGAAAGTTACATTATTAGAGCAACAACAGCAAAGTGAGAGCAACTGGGTGATGATAGCTGTTGTGGGCAATATCCTACATTTTGGTACATGCCCAGTACTCCCCCACTGACACCCCAGGTTGCTGTGGGATTTCTACAGAGGCAGGATCAGATGCTTTGACAACACCATATAATTAACAAAGCATATAATTAACTCAGTGAAAGCTTGCACTTCCACTGATGTGGGGACAATTCCAAATGGTACAAAATATATAACAATTGTGTAGGAGTTAAACAAAGTGAAATGCTAAAGATTGCAACACTGTTAGGCAGATTACTGTTAACAGCAGCAGAAGTAAAAGCTGTAATGCAACTAACAGAGCACAATAATCTAAGGTAGTGCTGTCCAACTTCTTTGCCAGTAAGGTGCATACACCATAGGCACCACACCATTGGGGCCATCCTCCCCCACCCTGCCTCCCTGTCTGCAAGCTCCCCTGGCACTGTGTGGATGGGTGGTTCCTTACCACTGTTGCACTGAGTGTGCGGGTGGGCAGCGCCCCCACTGCTGCACTGTGCAAGCAGGCCAGTGGGCATCCTCCCCCTCCCCCCTCCCTGCCTCCTTGGCTGTGGACCCCCCTCTGCACCAAGCCATGGGCTCCTCTGGCACTGCAGGCTGTGCTGTGTTGCACCACACTGACCTCTGGAAAAAGAAGGGAGAGGGAGCCCTGCTCTAAGGTATTTTACCTGCTATATAAACAAGGAAAGCAGGAACATGAATCCATGGTTTACTGTGACCTAATTTTTCAAACTGGCAGGGATTTAAAAGAAAAAGAGAGTAAGAAAAAGGAATTAATATCAAATTGATGGACGTTAGTACAGCAAGATTATTGTTAAATAATACATTTGAACTTTTTTTCCAGTTCATCTTACTATGGCCCTTATTTTAGTTTTTCTAACTGAAACCTTTGCCACAAACACAGGTGACACCATTAGAGGTGATGCTATTTCCAGATAACAGTGACATGAAAAGAGAGGATTTCTTATTCCTTGGGTACAATCATGTTGCATTGCTTTCAGTGAATTTCACCTGTGTGTATTGCAGGGACTGTAGGACAGTTGCTAAACTCCAAGTCTGCTAGTTATGAGAATTTCAAGCTGTTTCTGTTGTAGGTTTAAAAGAAACTTCAAGGGCATGATTCTCCACTGACCGTAATAATGCATGCCTAAAACTCTGAAGCCAGTGGAAGTTTTGGGTGTGTGAGGAGAACAGAACATAGTTCTAATCTAACAAATAAATATATACACAAGATGTTGACTTTTCAGCACTTGTTTAGTGCTGAATCCCCTCTAGATTAGTTATATGTTCAAGTCCCACACATAAGTAGACAAGTATAATACATACCAATGGAGTTATCCATTCAAAAAACATGACATTCTCGCCGTCATGTACATAATATGCCTGACCGCCCTGTTAAAAAAAAGGAAAGAAAAAGAGAGGTTAGAAGCCAAACACTGTTTATGTAAAGGCATTTCCCCCCTATTAAATATATCTTTACTGATTTTGTAAATAATATAGCAAGCCAAACAAAAGTAGTTAAGCTGCTTCCACCAGACTGAGTTCTGATCTCACAAAAGTTTTACACTGGTGGTAATCTACAGAATTTAATGGAGTTGACTATGATTTACATTGATATACTACAGAGAGCCTCAGCCACTGTACTTAGCTCTTATACTACAGTTTGTACAACCAACCTAATTCTTATAGTACTAAGGTTTTTCTTTTTAATTTTCAGCAGCAAAAGTCATATTCCTCAGGGTGAATCCACTAAATTTGCAACATGGTTGTTATATTAATTAATACAATAGCTTATGGTCATGATGTAAGAATACTTAATTTTCTAATAAAAATAAGCCTTATTTGCATATAGCTTGGGGTATGTTTTATTTGAGCTTTGATGTTCCTGGTAATGCCCTTTGGCCTTCTGGAGCTCACGCGCTGGGCAGCCCAGAGGCACTGGTGGCAAACACTGCCCGGCACAGCAAGCAGGGGGTCCACAGCAACTGCCACTGTGGCACAGCCCCAACAGGTGAGCCCAGAGCCAGCACGGAGCCCAGGCTGACACTGGGGGCAGGTTACAAGCTGG